CAAAATTTTTTTCAGAATAAACACGCAGTGATCGTATACGATTGTCCTTCTCCTCTTGTATAGTGCTCCAAAGTGGACATCGTCCAAGTAGGCGGATTGTAGAACTCCACGATCCACGATCCTCGTAGCTATAACATTTTGACAGTAAGTCTAACCCTGATTACACCAACTCTTCGATGTAATAGGTGCCTCTGTTGCACCTGCTTCTCTAGCAAATGTTACGATCTCTTTCGGAGTTTAGAAATGATATTAAAAGTTGGAACAATGACTCTTTAAGGAATCATTCAATGACTTTACACGGATTCCGCCATCTGCTTAGAAAATTTATACCTCTTAAAAGGAATGCAATTTAACTGCGCACCGATTATCAAAGTACATTTATTATTCCACTTATTATTTCAGCAAATACGTGAGTAATAACTTCATTGACGTATATACACAAAGGCTTCACACGTAAATTTTTCTCCAGGCTTTTTCATCGTTCTCTGGAAGTGAAAATAGGCGGCAAATTTCTGATGTACTTCTCAGTGAGCTTGCAAGTAAGTTTTGACAATCATAATAATAATATTCAGAATCAACATGTCACTAAATTTGATTATAATGATGTCGATAGTTTTATAATTCTGCTTAAAATGTTGATTTCTTGATCTCACTTATTCCAGTTTTTCTTCTTCGAATTTTAGCGGATAAAACCCAATATTCGGCTATAACCCGGTTTGGCTACAATTTCACTTGATGCATGTGAATGAAAAGAACATGAAAAGCAATGTTGATGAACATTGCCCCCCCCCCCGGTCGACGCACCTCCACAGCCGCGGCCGCTCCCCCCCCCACAGCGGCCCTCATACTCCCTTCACCCTGGAGAGGCCATGTTCCCCCTTTGCACACGTATGACCTCAGGTGAAGGGGGTCAGCCGGATGCCGGCCCTAAAGTGAAGGTAGTCAGAGAAATCTCTCCACCTATCGCATCTATGCTCATAGTGAAGGGGGGGGGGGGATAATGAAGGCAGCGTCCGGGCAAAATTTCGCCTCTCATGTTTCTGCCGTTCTGGGGCCTTTCCGTGGCCCTGATTACAATTGTAAAGTCCAAATTGTTCAAAACTCCCAAAAAACCCGGTTCTTGGGGACCCTCTCTTCAAGGAGCGGACGAGTTTCGAATTGCTCGTCCTCATCGTCATGCGGGAGGAGCTGCAACTGCACGGATGCAGTTGCAATGCAGTGTGCAGTGCAACTGCAATGCAACTGCAATGCAACCGCACACCTGCGTAAGCACTGGTCCTCAGGGGTGGTTTGTGATACGAAGGGGCGGCTTGTGATACGTATCACAGGCCCGTATCTCCTTTTAGAGGGCACGTCAAAGGATCGGACCAACGCAGATCGGATACTCATGGGCCCCTCTTTACAACTATATGCTAATCTGGGTGGATGGATCTTACCTGGACGCTGCCTTTGAAGCATGCGGCCCTGAAATTGTGGTAGGTGTGGTATGCCTAGGGCGTAATGCTGTAAATGGAGTGACTTCAGTAGATCAACTAGTATAATTCAAGGTACTCTAGTGAGGTCGTTTGAAGAAACGAGGGAGTGAGCATAATGTATAGCAACTTGTACACGATGTTCAATTTTATATACACGATGGTAGGTTGACACGCGCATAATACGGCAAAGTTTCAGACAGATTCATTAACAAGAACGATTACGACTATTTCTAGGGTGGCTTTATAATTATGTCCAGCACTGTATGTGAAAAAGAAGTAATCTAAACATTCATTCATTTCGCATTAAAAAATGGTTTGTGTTAATCGATTGTTCAGTGTCAAAAGGCGTATTCGGATATCCAAATTTTGAAGGTGACAAGGTGATCATGCATAGTGATACTCGAAATTGCATCAAATTTTTCTGATTGTAAGTATTGGAGCTTACATTGATTATCAGCGCAAACTTCAATTCTTCTGTTTTTGACATCCCTATCACAGTACCGTTTCTCGTGCAAGACAATACGATGTCGTTCTTTTTCGAGGTCCAGGTAGCGATGACGTAGTGAATCATTATCATACACTTCTGCTAATTGATCATTTCTCTTTTAAACTTGATCTTCGCTGATTTCCAAGGGAATGAAGAGGTAAACAGGTTTGCCATCAGATCGACCCCTCGTGGTTCTCCCTTTACATTTTTGTCAGTTTCGTGATTCCTTTTCAAACATTTCTCGGTAGGATTGGGTCGCTCAGGATTACACTGTCAATTTTCGGCTCTTTTGGCGATGGCGTCTCTCCGAAATGCTTATTTCATGTTCTTCTCTTAGGCTGACAAGATAGTGAGTGATCTTTCCAAACTTGATCTGAAGACACTGAACAATCGATTAACACAATCCATTTTTTAATGCGAAATGAATGAATGTTTAGATTACTTCTTTTTCACATACAGTGCTGGACATAAATATAAAGCCACCCTAGAAAAAGTCGTAATCGTTCTTGTTAATGAATCTGTCTGAAACTTTGCCGTATTATGCGCATGTCAACCTACCATGATCCCCCAAAACGGCTTTCAGTCTTGTTGAGTTTGAACGGAGAAACACGAAAAAACTCGAAAAAGCCCTTTTTGAAAGCTGGACAAAATTATAAAGCCATCTGGTTTTTCTAATCACTATCGCATTCGTTGACTCTCAAGTTTTTTTGTACAATTACATCTCAAAATATGAAACATTTGCAACACCTACTGCCTGTCATCCTACTTAAATAGGGGAGATCACTGCATTTTTTGCTTTCAAAAGCACCAAACTCAGACAATTGCATCGGAAAGTTCGCGCCCGCAAAGCGTGTTACATGGCGCGCCGCGGCCCTTTTAAATTTCATCCGCGCACGCCGCGGCCCATGTAAATTTTACCGGGAGCGCCGCGGCCAAAGTTGAAAGTGGGAAGAGATTATCGGGAGAGTCGCGGCCCAATCACCTCACTCGACGGGCCGCGGGTCTTATCAAAGGCCGTACTTCTTACACGCTGTAGTTTAAGGCGCAAACCGCGTGGGGTACGCCGCAGCGATGGGGCTACCCTAATGTTTGTGAGAGTCGGTAATCGCTTCTCGGGTTTGGTCCTGTCTGACAGTTAAGTTTTTATGCTTACGAAACAAACTTCAGCATTCGGATGAGTGTTATCGACGACATTAGATGATTTCGATGAGCTAACAAGTTGTTCAACTTGCACTCAATTCGTTGTCATGAAAGACAATCCAAAAGATTTTTCACTTTTCCTAGGCCTCACAAGCATGCTAATCGGGTCAACTATCGGGCGCTTACAGGATGCGCCGATCACTTACGGGTCCAATATCGGTTTATGCCGGGCAGCTCGCGGCATGGATGATTGGTGGCCGAGCAAGCACCCGCGAACTTCCCGATGCAGTTGTCTGAGAAAAGCCAATCTTAAACAAAGAGCGGGTCCGAAGAGTTTTCAAGCTCTTGTTCATCTTAGAAAATAGTTATGGAATCCGCTAGCCTTTTTGGATAGATGAGGTGAAGAGCGCTTTCGTAAACTCTGCGTAATCGCTGATTTTGACGGACAGACTCCAACCTCACCATAGGGTTGACGACTTTTGCATCACAAAACTCGATTTTCAAGCGACAGAAAATACTGTAGTGTAGCCATTACGACAGTCATACAACAGTGAACTCGTGTGCATAACTGGGGAAAATTTTCGGGATTGAGCACTTTGGTTCAGCCTTAGTTGACATCCAATGAATGTTGAGTGGTGCACCGTGCACAATCAAAGCCAACTCAGGCCACAAGATAGAACTGGAGACGCTTAAAAGTTCAAAATCTTATTCATCGGTTGAGATATGACTTGAAACACAGAGAAAAATAAGGAGATCTAGGGTTTCTTCTGCTCGCAGGGAATTTTCGAGGAAAGTATTTCAGGTCTAAATCGCTACTGCATCATTAGGAAAATTCTGCAATGTAATAGATCCAAGCGTTTTGTGGGCATAGCAAACTGAGTTTTGTGGTGCAAAAGTGCGTCAACCCTAAAGTGAGGTTGGAGTCTGTCCGTCAAAATCAGCAATTACGCAGAGTTTACGAAAGCGCTCTTCACCTCATCTATCCAGAAGGGTCAGTGGATTTCATAACTATTATCTAAGATGAACAAGAGCTTGATGTTTTGGTGCTTTTGAAAGCAAAAAATGCAGTGATCTCTTCTATGGGAGTAGGATGACAGGCAATAGGTGTAGAAAATGTTTCATATTTTGGGATGTAATTGTACAAAAAAATTTTGATAATCAACGAATGCGACACTGATTAGAAAAGCCAGGTGGCTTTATAATTTTGTCCAGCTTTCAAAGAGGGCTTTTTCGAATTTTTTCGTGTTTCTCTCTTCAAACTCAACAAGACTGAAAGCCGTTTTGGGGGATAATGGTGGGTTGACATGCGCATAATACGGCAAAGATTCAGACAGATTCATTAACAAGAACGATTACGACTATTTTTAGGGTGGCTTTATAATTATGTCCAGCACTGTATAATTTGAGTAATAAGATAGTCGTAATTTTTGAATAATTCATTCGGACGCGCTTCAGAACATGTTAATATCGAGACGTTACACTATGCCCACTGGCATCTCTTATCCAAGACTTTGCTAGCAGAATTCATACTTTCTTGCTTCTTTCTTGCTTTTGCAGTGCATTAGCACTTTCAAATAAACTTCACTCGGACAGAAATTTGGCTCTACGGGAAATACTGAGACTATTCGTGTAAAATGTGTTAAAGGGGGATGATCGAGTTTTCTACTTTATGCGGACTTGGTTTTTTTTTTCATCGCCATGCTATTTCCAAATGTTTCATAAAACTATTGATGCTTTGTCAACTTTATTGCGAGCCGTTTGCTTGTCGTATTGATGTTTTGAAGCTTTGATCTCTTTGATCTTGCAGCTTTTTTATAGTTCAGCAATGCTTCGGGACGACAATTTCGCTAATACATCAAGGTGTACTGCGATTGTACTGAAGCTGCTCACATAAATAGCCGTTGAAACGCATTCTTTACCGGTACGCTTTCTTTTCTTTAACGGTTTGTTCTGTTTTGCTCGACTATGCGAAAATAGTAAATTCAGTCTTCCTATATCTGAATATGTTTGTTACCAGTGAGCTCTCGCATAAAAGATTCTTCTTTAGAGCAAGGCAAGCTTTACAAGAGAAAGTTAGTACTACTAGTTAGTACTAGTTAGTACTACTTAGTTAGCGTATTTCACGCTAAGTTTAAAGTCAGATTCCGAAGAATTCCAAGGACATTCGAATTTCCGTCCAAATCCCCGGCCTCCAATTTGTTAATGTACGACCTCCTAGTCGAATAGATTTTTATAAAATGCAAAAAAGTTCTCGATTTGCAGAAACAGCCGCTCTATTTTCCTGTAAATAAAACGCGAAAGAAAAAATTAGGTAGTATTTACCAAAATTCTCCTTGTCGGTTTTTACGTTACAATTTTTTCGGAAAACAACGCTTGTAAAAAACTGAAAATTTCTAATTATGCTTGCAAAGACAGAATTAGTCATGTGAGCACAAGCCAGAATTGCTTTGCTTACAGCATTTCGGTTCTCATTTTTGATTTTAGCTAGAGAAAAATACGATTTGTTTCTGTTAGGTTGATGCACAAATAATGGCCGTCCTGCGAATTCTCATTTTAACGTGTTATAACTTTTTTAAAAATCCACATTTCTGAATGCGGTAAAAACCTTCAGAGGCAGCAAACAAACCTTTTGCAATACAGCGCACATTTACCTGCACCAATATCACATGAATGGGCAGAAAAATATGGGCCGTAAAACAAAAAAGATCTTTTCTAAAACCTCGTGTTTGGCAAATTAGAACTTTCAAAGTTTGTCAATATGAACGATAAGTCGTCTATCTTGTAGCCACAAGCCAATAGTATAGAACGCGATAAAAAGGGTTTGGAGAAAAAAGTTTGCGAAAAGAAAAAAGATTAAAATCTAACATTGTCAGTTCTTCCAACATTTTTCAGTATGCCTCCCAGTCCCAAATATAGAATTTTCTAATTTTTCGCGCACTAAACAGCTGGATGTTTTTGCAAAAACTCTTGTTAGGGTGCCCTAACACCACGCTTACAGAGTTGAGCAAATCTTTGGCAATTGACCTTTTCAAAAGAGACTTATGGGTAACGTAATGACCGCAACGGCTACCAATGTTGAAGCGCCGATATCTCAGCTTGGATAACCTCAAAATTTACAGTGAAGTATGCATAATGTAGACAATTTCTATTGCATACAATAGCTAAATTTTCGAAGAAGCGCCACGTACGCGCTTGAGTTCTGGCCAGAAAAGTAAATGCAACAAAATTCTGAATTTCAACGCAGTTATTTGAAACGCAGTAATTATATTAGGTTGGCTAGAAAGTTCTTGCGTAATTCAAACAAAATTCAATAACTTTTCAATGACTAAACCTAAATTCACAATCTTGTTCTCTAAAAATATTAGAAGGTCTGCGCTCCATAATGGATGTTTAAGCGCGAGAATTCATGAGCTAGCTCCCGAGAACGAAGCTCTCAAATATGGGACTTCAAAATTTGCAGTTTTGAGTTTGGTGCCAGAAAGTCGCAGAGTGCCGCTAGCTAGCCGAAAAAAATCTGTAAAAATTACTTACACTGCAGAAGTCCATAAGTTACTTTGGAAGGCTTTGATCTTGCACGGTGAAGCAAAAACAAAAAATTTGTGGAATTTGTTATTTTACAGGATAAATCCCCTTATCGATGTAATTTTTCCACAAAAACACAGTTTGCAACCAGAAATAAGGCATATTGGCTATTTAGAACCTTGCGACGTTTTTTGGAGTGTAAAAAGTTGTTTTTGCCGAAAAACTATGGTAATGAGTGGATTTTTTCCGCAAAATGAATATTTCACGAATTTTTTGTTTTTGCTTCACCGTGCAAGATCAAAGCCTTCCAAAGTAACTCATGGACTTCTGCAGTGTAAGTAATTTTTACAGATTTTTTTCGGCTAGCTAGCGGCACTCTGCGACTTTCTGGCACCAAACTCAAAATTGCAAATTTTGAAGTCCCATATTTGAGAGCTTCGTTCTCGGGAGCTAGCTCATGAATTCTCGCGCTTAAACATCCATTATGGAGCGCAGACCTTCTAATATTTTTAGAGAACAAGATTGTGAATTTAGGTTTAGTCATTGAAAAGTTATTGAATTTTGTTTGAATTACGCAAGAACTTTCTAGCCAACCTAATAACAGATGAGACTGGAAGCCCGCTTCAACCATCTTTAGATAGAGCATGAAAGCAGCTTTTCAACAGTGTGCTACGTATATATCAAAAAAAAATACTGTGATGGAAAAAGGTTGCCTTAAAAAAGGTTTAACAAATCGGCCATTAATTTTACATCACCTAATATTAAACTCTTACGCTGAGAGTATAGGTATAGGAAAGTTAGAGGGTGGTAAAATTCAATCTTCAAAGGTTTCATATAATATTTTTCAGCTCAATTGACGTAGAAACCATTTTGCGAATGCTCAAAGAATATCCTAGGAGCTTTGCTTTGACGAATGATATGTTTCTACGATTTTTTCTGAACCTAGACTTCCAGTGGCATGAGGAAAGGGGTACATGCAGTAACAAAAGTGCAGCATCATGCAATCATAATCACAAAATTGTGAGTGATCCAGTGCTAAGTCGTTGAAACACCTGTTAGTGTTGACTCAACGAGATAACTTGTTAACGACTAGTTACCAAATTTAGGTGGAGTAATTGTCGATTTGTTTAAACCGTTGCTTATTATATGACAAATAAAAGGAGTTAATGCAGAATGCGAGCACTGATATTCTTGTACCTTCTCTGCTACTGCTACGTTCCGTCTAACGGAATCATAGAATGGTTGACAACTGGAGTACGTGGGTTACTCTATTGTAAAAAAAAACCAGTCAGTCATGCGCAAATCATAGTCTTCGATATTGCACCTCGTGAGTCAAAAGTTCGAAGTTGAGCGCAATTCGAACTTCAATTTCAGGTGGTCGTCGTCAACAACTTTCTGAAATAGGACACCCGAACAAAACCGGATGGTTTAAAATCGAAGGCGCTGCTAGAAAGTTATTCAGACCTTTCCTCATGGTCAAACATTGGTGCAATCGAAAGAAAGTAGGAAAAGTACGATTGCTCTCTCTTTGCACATGATTAATTAGATTTTCGAATCACCAATTGTAAGATAACACCAATGCTGTTTAGATCTCTCCCACTATATTCTGCATAGACATCCCATCACATGTAGTAAACCAAGAAAAACGTTACTGGACTATCGGATTTGAGCTCTCGGAGGAGCGTGAAGGACAAAGAAAGTGTTAAGCCGCACGTAATAAATAAGTACTTCCGCATTTGACGCAAGTTTGAGGTTTATGAAACACGTGTTTATGTTGGTCATTTCACCCAAACAAGTCTCAAAGATGCACTTGTCATAGAAAATATACGCGTTCTCTATTTTCTTCTTGTCAATCCTTTAAGCTATATGAGATCAGCAATGAAGGCACCGTTCACCCTAAGTTAAGGGTCTTGAGCCTTTGGCAGCATATGATAGTAGGGTTCCCTATAAAACCAACGCCCAAGTCGCGGCGCAAAATGTCGCTTCGGAAGCGAGAAAACTGCTACGGAATGAGGATGTACGAGATCCCCAGACGCCATCGCCCTTACCATCCATGCCCCTCTCCGTGAGCTCCCATTCAATCACCGTCCAGAAGAACCGGCCTGCGGGCTCTTTGGAACGGGCATTTCCGGGTGTTCGCGGATTCTCGACTTTATAATCGGAATCAAGGACATGAGAAGGCCCTAAGACGACAAAAACTTGGGAGTCGAGAATCTGGGTGGGTGGTCCGCCCAAAGTCTTCATGATCTCATTTTTTACAAAATTTTCTAGTTAACCTCAAGACGAAAATGAAAAGGAGAGGAAAGGAAAGATGAGAAGCCGCGTCAGAGAAATGAGGCATCAGTGCAGTGAGATTCCAAAACCTTAAACCACTCTCTACTTTTCACCTCCACGCCGTCCACCCTAAGTTAAGGGTCTTGAGCCTTTGGCAGCATATGATAGTAGGGTTCCCTATCAAGCCAAAGCCCAAATCGCGGCGCAAAATGTCGCTTCGGAAGCGAGAAAATTGCTCCGGAATAACGAGGATGCACTAGATCCCCATACGTCATCGCCCTTACCATCCATACCCGCCCTCCGTACAAGTGTGCTCCAATCAGTCGCCACGGCATTTTGCCAATTAAAGCTCAGAAAATAAGGCCATTGATACATACATTAATGGCAGATTATTATTCAATTGCCTTCTGTTATCACAGGTATAACTTGAAGTGTTTTAATTACACAAAGGGCTTCTCGAGCATATCAAAACCTCTATACTTTGTGTACTCTCGTGAAAAATACATTTTTAAAGTTTGCCTTAACAGATAAAAAGACATCTTTTTTAAACATTTTCAAACGTTTTTTAAATAAATACCAAGTCTATAGGGGTAGGTTGTGACTAGCTATTTCAGTATTTCCAAGGTGATAAAGTTTACTTTAAGGACAGTAGAGTTAGTGTTATTCGTAATTTCCTGTTGAACACCTGCCACTTGGCGTGGCAAGCGTTGATAGAAAGCACTAGTTTTTAGGCGGTAACATTGCTTTTTTCCGCTACTCGGATGTTACACATGTAGGGTGCACCAAAAGTGCGGACTCTTTGCGGTATTATGATTTACATATTCACATATGATTTTGATTCAAATTCAAGTCACATAGAGACACAATTACCCTCTACAAAATAAACTCAAAATGATTGCCACTTGTTTTTGTAGGAACTCAAATTATCAAACTAATGTTTTTGCAGGGAGAGGAAATTGAAATGTTTAGTGTTGACGACTTAATCCGTGCTATAGTATAAGCCATTAGGAGCATAATCATGAACTTTTAGCCTTTTACAAATGCTAATTTTCGTAGGAACTCAAATCATCAAGCTAGTGTTTCTGCAAAACGAGGAAATCGAAATTTTTGGTGTTTCTGATTCTACAGTATAAGCCATTAGAAGCATAAATGCCGTTTTTGCATCTTCGCATCTTCGCTTCATTTAGGTAGTTCCTTCAGCATCGCCTCGCTTCAGTGATACTGGTCGAGAAGAGAACGATGTTGTCCGCAAAACGAAGGTAGGACAGGAATCTTCCATCAACTCGTATGCCTGTCTCATCCCAGTCTTGTAATACCCACTGCAAAGCCGCCGCGATTAACAGCTTCGGCGAAATAGTGCCGCCTTGTCAAATCTCCTTCCCAAATGATGGAATATAGCTGCAATCGTTGTTGTACATTGTAGCACTCGGCTAGTGTTTTCACTAAAATGGGTCTACTCCTTGATCGACTAGCCTGCGAGCATGGCGTTCATTTCGACGCTGTCAAAGGCTTTCTCGTAGTCGACAAAGGTTAGGACGAGAGGCAGTCGGTACTCCCGGCAGACTTCTATGAGCCTCGGAACCGTCGATGTGGTCCACGGAGCTGAATCCTTTGCGAAATCCAGCTTGTTCTTGGGCTTGTGCTTTATCCAGTGCCCTAGATAAGCGACCAAGGATAATCTTCGTGAAAAGCTTGTACGGAACATTCAGCTGGCGTATTGGACAGTAGTTCCGAAGATCCTCCCGTTCACCTTTCTTGAAATGAGGGACGGTTCTTGACGTCCTCCATTGATCGGGAATCCTTTCTTTCTAAAAATAAGCTATCAGGTGCGACGCATGAATCTCTTGTAGACGTTGTCCTCTGGCTCGCAAAAATTCAACGGAAAGATGGTTTGGTTAAGGAGCCGTGGACGTCTTCATGGTCTGTATCGCTAGGCGCACTTCAGCAGGTAGACTCCGTAGTGGTACTTCTTCAGTGGGAACATCAGGCATCGGCACGGGTGTTGGGAAGAGATTGGTGCGAAAGTTCTTCGCGATAAATTCCAACTTGTATCGGGAAGAAGTCAGAGTCCCGTCTTCTTTCAATAGTGCAGCCAGCGGTACGTAATATTCATAGAGGTCCCTTCCGCAGTTCTTGAGACTTCGTCTTTCTTTCTGCTTTCAGTATCTTGGCTTACCTGTACTTCCTAAAATCCTCCTGCAAAGCTGTCCTGCAACTGGTGTTGGCTATCAGTCGCTCGATATGATTTGCATTCAGAACCTGCCTCAAAAATCTTCTTCTTTTGAGCAATTTCTCAGTGGTTTTCGAAATGCGTTCCAAGTTCTTCTCAGAAGTGACTGAGGCGAACTCTCTGCAAACTCGCAATCCTTTCAGAAGCCGATCGTAATGGTACGTTGGCTCCTCCTCGTGGGCCAGTCACAACTTGATAAAAGCTCTTAAAGCCTTTACCGTCATAAATAACTTCTTCCCTTCTTGCGCACTGTGGCAGACCTCCTTTTCCAGCTTTCAACTGTATCGTACCTTTGCTCAAAGGAGGTGGTGATCGGAGTCACTGCAGAAAGATGGAATCACTAACAAGGGAGGTTCGCTTATTCGAAGTGGCGTTTCGGAAGGATATCTATACCAGTGGATAGAGCTCAAAAGCTGATTTCAGATATACCTTCTATATCTGCGTTGCATCGTTTGAAAAAAGTTATGAGCTTTTCTAAAGCCAAATTTTCGTGCATTTTGAGTCTCAAAATCAAAATAATCGCTACACGAAAGTGTGCAAGCTTAAGCAAACCATCTAATAAACATCTTAGAACTATTTCGAGCTCATCCGAACGCGTTCGAGTTTTTTTCGACCATGTTGTCCATCAATAGGTCGTCATTTCCTTCGTAGATCACACTTGCATTATGTATACAAAAGAGCCCCAAAGCTCCATCTAGAAAAGCGCGCGCGTCGGAAACTTTTTGGAAACTACCAGTGGATAGAACGTAAAACGATGTTCTCAAATATATCTTCAATATCTGCGACGCGTTCTTCTAGATGAGGTATGGGTTTTTCTTATATAATGTCTGTTGTCTGTCTGTATGTTTGTCTGTATGTCTGTCTGTACGTATGTTCCGAATAGAAAATTCCATTTCTGAACCGATCCGGACCAAACTTGGCACACATACTTCGGGCACCGGCGGGTGTCATAGGCTACTTTTCGTCATCGATCGATATCGATTTTGTCGATTTTTGCTGAGTTTATTTACGGGGCTGGGAGTTGGCACAGGGGGGTAATCAAGCATGAGGATTGCGAATACAAAATTAGTTTTCAGAATTATCGATTACTTTTATCGATTTTATCGATTTTTTTACAAAGTTTGAGCTACGGGGCTGGGAGTTTGCGCAGGGGGTAATCAAGCATGCTGATTACGAATACAGTATTAGTTTTCAACATCATCCATTACTTTTATCGATTTTATCGATTTTTTTTGCAGAGTTCACCTACGGGGCTGGGAGTTGGCACAGGGGGGTAATCGAGCATGCTAATTACGAATACAGTATTAGTTTTTGAATTCATCCATTACTTTTGTCGATTTTATCTATGTTCTGCAAAGTTTAACCCAGAGGGCGGGGAGTTGGCACAGGGGGTAGGTGAGCATGCTGAGAAAACGGGGATAAATTTGCACGGAGAAGTGGCACAGGGAAGGATTCTGCACGGATAAGGATGGAACCTTTATCATAGTTTTCACTGAACCGGACGGAGCCGGGTAAGCAAGCTAGTTTGTATATATAATGGAAGTGTAATATGGGAAGGAAATGACAACCTGTGAATAAACAGCATGATCGGAAAACACTCGACGTTCGGATGAACTCGATTTAGACGTACAATGCTTACTAGATGGTTTGCTTAAACTTGCACACTTTTGTGTAGCGATTGATATGATTTTGCGACACAAAATGCACGAAAATTTGGCTTTAGAAAAGCTCATAACTTAACTCATAACTCATAAGCTCATAGGCTCATAACTAACATAGCTCATAACTGGAACAATGCATCACAGATATAGAAGGTATATCTAAGATCATTCAAGCTCTATCCACAGGTATAAATCTCCTTCCAATTCGCCGCTTCGACTAAGTGAACTTCTCTTGTAAGACATCAAACAAGCCCACCTTCGGTTGGTCAGAATGTGATCGACCTCCGCGTGAGCCGTTCCATTGGGCATTCCCAAGTCCACCGGCAATGTTCTTTCTTCATAAAGATGAGATTTCCATGAAAAGATCGTGCGGCGGAGAGGAACTCAACGAGACGGTTGCCGTTTTTGTTCCAGGGCCCAAATCCGAATTTCGCGATCCTATATTCATATTCTGGTGACATTCCGACCTTTGATTGAAGTCGCCCACATCCTACTTGTAGAAGGACTTTTCGCTGCGGACGACCTGCTCCACATCTTCGTATAAGGCATATGATTCGGAG